AAAAATTCACAACTTTTAAAATTCTAGCTGCCAGTGGCCCAGGAGTCATGTTTAGCTTTCCACTTGCTGTGCAATTGTTGGCAGTCAAGTGTTGCCATGGTATCCTGTGCTGAACACCCCACTGCTGGGGACCGGCAGCTCCTTGCCTGGCATCCAACCCATTCGCCTCTAACCCAGAAAAGCCCTGCCTGGTCAGCTCCTGGAGTTCTACCATTTGTCCCGTGTGACCTGATTACAGCTTTGATCGATGGCCAGAGCAGCCATCTGCAAAGTACTCAAAGCTCCAGCAAAAGGCTGCTTTGATTTCTTTTCAGCCCCTTAAAAGTACTCATAAAGTCACCTTGAGCACACAAAGATGACTTCTCTTTCTCTTCTTGATGAGATTTCACAGATGATCTGATTAGGAAGCGTTAGCTACTGGGCTGCACTGCCACGGGCAGGAATGATACTCTTTTGACTCTGTTTCTGGCTTTTTCCTGATTCTCTTACTAAATGGAGGTTTTTAACCTAGTGTGATTCTCTGGTGGTTTTGTCATGAAGTAGAAAAAAATTCTAATGATTTCTACTCCGAACACCTCAGGCTTTCATATAAACGAAACGTCCTGAAAACAATTATGTCTCATTCATCAGCAAAGCATTCCCCCTGCCTGTCTGTGAGTGCTTTTCCTGGGTCAGCACAGCCACATGGGGAGCTCGCTGTCTGCTAAGGGCTTGGATGCCTTGCCTTAATGCCACACACCATGGGAAGTGTTTCTGAGGAGAAACTCAGTGCATTCTTGTTTGTTCCACAGCAACAAAGAAATGGAAAAAAAACCCCAACCCACTGTCACAAGGCAGATTCTGAATTTTATCTCAGTATAACATAAATATAGCCAGGCCTAACACATTATGAAACAAGATAAAAAGGAACTGAAGTAAACTTTTGTCTTTATGTGGTACCACATAACTGTCCACATCTGGACAAAGGTCCAGATGTTACCACATGAATCTTGAATAATTGTGTTAAAAAAAATTCAAAAGAATCACAATTATTTCTGTCAGGCTGAGGATGTGCAATATGATATCTTATTAGTTTATAGGAATATGAAGTATTCATCAAATTGTCTTGTAATTCTTATTGCCTTTGAGCTCTCACTAGTCTTATGGATGATTAGCTGCGACATTCCTCTCAACAGTTACAATTCCAGAGAGGCAGGAAACAGTAGAGAAATAAAATCATTCCCAAGAATCATCAGAAACTCAGCAATACAAACTGCAGTGGCAGATGTAGTGTGCAGAATAGACAGGTATTTACTGAGTCAAGTCAATATTCAACTAAAAAAAGAAAAAACTCTGTTTCCTGCAAGTTGGGAGCCTAAAAAATGAATATATAGGAAAATTTGTTTCCCTCTGGTATTATAATCCTGCTGTTCAGTATGTTGGAGAATAATAAAAGAAAGGGAGAAGTAGAACAGCTCAGAGGAGGCCCCCTTGGACATGATAGCCCACAGGTTTAGAAGCATCTTAGCAGAACAATATTCAACAAGCTTCTGCTTTTAAGGGACCTCAGAGTGTAGCTATCTATATGTGAAAAAAAACCACAGGATTTCATGTTTCAAAACTGACACATTTTCAACTAATGGAGAATAGTCCTCTCTTACACTTTGAGCATCTCACTAAGACTGCCCTTAAAAATGCTCTCTTGCATCTTAATAGATGATATCACCCCCTTTATAAAATGTTTCATATTTTATATACAACTCTTTTGCACAAGAATTTCTAATTTGCAAATTGATCTATATTTATGCAAATCTAGGCTAACAAAAACTTGATTTTGGCCACAAATGTCAGTAAACACTATGACATGAAGAAAAAAAATAGCCCAGGTATTTCAGAAGGCATTCAACTCTGGCAACAGTAAGAGGATGAGGGAAGTAAGGAAGAAGGAAGCAAAGAAAGAGAATGAAGGACTTTAGAGACATTAACATGTATTGAAACAGAATAAAAATACCATTACAACTCAAATGACCTGACTTGACAATAACTTCTTTTTTAAACAATGCATAGCTGAACTGGGTTTCATAGAAGTATTTGCTATAAGACTAAGTAAGAAAAGACAATTAGTAAAGATATGTAAAAGATGTGCAGGAAATTGCACTGCACTGAAAGGTCATGCTCAATACAGAGAATGACTGTCAGGAAAGCTCTTCCTTCTTGACATTAATATTCTTCAGTATTTGTGTGTTGATGAAGTTTCTAATGAAACAAAATCAGCAGGCATTGTCAGGACCAAGGATGATCAGAACAAATATAACAAGAATTGGATAACCTTGAGGACTGTAGCAATATTAAGAACACTGATTTATGTGAACAGTGTTATGAAATACCAAGTCATGTGTTCTTAGCATTATGCAAAAAAATTCTTCAAAAAGCCAGCATGAACCCACTGCTGAAAAATGAGTGAGGAAGGGAGAGACCTTACTGTACTGTTCCAGAAAGGACTCTCCTGTGATATGCACTTGTGAAGAAGGCAGAGGTGGCTCTTTGAAGAAAGGCAGGGTTAGTGCCATAGTGTAATACAGATTTCATCTGGGACACTGTTCATGGTACTAGTTATTCCTGATGAAGAACTAATGCCAGTTCTGCATTTCTCTTAACATGCTCCTGCATGAGAAAGCTAAAAAAGACTGGAATATTCAGTTTAATGAAATGAAGTCTATGAGAAACTACAAGTGTTTTCATTTAATGGGTTATGAAGGTCCCAGTAGGGCCAGAGAAGACACTGAATTAAAAAAAAAATAAAATTGCAGGCCCAAGCAGTGAGTATTAATTTCATGCTTTCATAGGTATGAAAAGACCTGGGGTAGGAATTCATAGAATATCTAACCACTACAAGAAAGCAGTGGTGAAACAGACATCCAAGAGGATCACAAAGGCAAGAAACCAACCTTCTTCAGGCATGCAGCTTAAGCACTTTTTAGAAGTGATTATGACTTCAGCACTGGCATGGAATGACTTGGAAAGTGACTTTCAATCTTATTCACACTGCCCATCTACCTACCAGCACTTTTGCCTTAAGTGATTCATGAAGAGTAGACACACAGGTTTTCATCAGGACAGAATGATGTTTATGGAGACCAATCATTTTCTAAAGCAGTGTGACAGTGCTTCAAAACACAGGTCAAGTGTTACTTTATCCACATTCTTTAGTGGACTTTATTATTGCAATGACAGGCAGGCTGGCTACCCTTAGTATCCTGATTTAAATCCATTTTACCTTTGTGATGCTGCAACAGAGCTCACAAACCCACACATGACCTCTGCTCCAGGCATCCCAACTTCTATGGTAAATTCAGCTTCTACCCTTTCTATGATATAATGAGCATTAAGTTTTCATACTGAGTGGAACAACTTTGAGCACTCAATACTCACTTTTTAGGATTGTTTCTTGAAAGATAAGTAATCTGCATCAAACCTCTACTCTAAATCAGATAAAAGGGAAATTTCAATTTACAAGTCCCATATTCTAAGTCTGAACAGGAACAAGTGCTCTCACTGAAAAGCAGAGACACGACTTAATTTTCTGCTTTGCCCAAGGACTGACCTGACAGAAATTTCCTGGGAATATTTTCCAGAGCAGGTTGTGAAAGGATGAAAGGAGAGATATCTACTTTGTGAATCCCAATAAGACTTAGTCATCTCAGCAATGCAGAGATGGCAAGACCTTGTTGGCCATTTCAACAATGCTGTAAACAGAGAGAAAGGATTTCATCTGACTCTCCAGCTTCCCACTTTACACACACATTTGGAAAATAGGAAAATGCCAGGTCCTTGCTACAAGTACAATTAAAAGACACTGTCACAGCAAAAATTTTCCCCAAAAAAATCTCTGTAAGCCTGAATTATGCCAATAGTTTTCTCACACATTATAATCAACCTAATATATATACTACCTATATACTGGTTGCAGGTATGAGATCCTGAATCAAATGCTATCAATGGAAATTGTACACAGAACAAAACCCCAAACAAACCAGATTTTATCCACTCTCGGTGCAGAGTCCACCATTACATTTGCTGCTTGTGAATATCAGTACACAGAATTTTAATGATAGTCTCAACTCTGCTTACATATGCATGGAAATTATTTCAGGCAACAGTGTCACAAGAATTTTAGCATATCTGTAAATTCCAATAAGATGAATGAAATCTGGACATAAATGTAAAACATATTCTTAAATGCTTCCTCAAACACAAGTTCAGCCGCACCGAGTTCCTACCAGACTGTAGCAGAAATTAAGCACAGAAATCACACATATTTAATAATACAGAACTTATTTTAAAAATACACATACTTGTGTACTGTATATTAAAATGTTACATTAATCTTGAAAGTTTTTATATAATCTTAGATTGTTAAATAACATGCTTGCAATATTGTCATTATAAAAGTGATCATGAATTTTTTTCAGAGAAAAGAGAGATTTTACTTCATGAGTATTATCTACATAAGTTCAATAGACACCAGCCATTAAATCAGTATATATAAAGAGACAGTTTACATGCTCTGAAAGTTTAACTAGAGCACAGTGGTTAGGAAAAAACCCACAAAACACCTATTTCAAGGACAATTCTAACCTCTTGCCTTCATTTATAAATGGAAACAAGCTGCTACACAGTTCAGCAGTAAAGGAGGATAAAGAACTGATATAATCCTTGTGCTCCTCACATGAACTCCAACAAGGCATTTCAATGAGACTTTTAAGCTGTAAATTGTCTATGAAAACACAGAATAACTTTTGCTAATCCTTGTGCCACAAATTATTAATCCATCTGGAAAGCTATTTTTTTGCTTGTGTTTACAGGGATCTAAACATCATCAGACAGAAAGACAAGTGGGTTAGTAGCATGTAAAAAAAACAACCCCTGAATACAACACATGAAAAAAACCAGAACTCAACAGAAATAAAAACTCCCAAGCAGTTGAGCACAGAATAAGTAGGATTTGCAGAAGTACTTACAGCTTTCAATCTCCAGCGTGCAGTTCTGCTCATCCAGCGGATATCTCCGCAGGTCCATCATGCAAGCAGCTGTTGTTGTAATTCTGGGGAGGAAGGAGAAGAGTTTGTTAATGTGTCTCATTCCAATGTTTCCTCGATCACACTTTGCTGAAAGAAGAACCTGTATTTCTGCAGAAGTGATGCTCTCCCTGGGTGCCATGCCTGCTGCTGGCTGGCCACCAGGGCTGTCCCAGGGAGGCTCTCCCAGCTCAGCTTCCTCTCGACAGGTACCTTCTGCTGTGTGCTAAGCACAGCTGACTGGCCAAAGCACTGGGGAACCTGCTTCCACACCATGACAAAAATGAGAGCACTGGGCAGCAGACATTTGTACAAGCTTTCTTCAAGCTGAAAGGCTGACCAAATGAATGAGATCAAACTGTAAAATCCAAGATGATGAGCTCCACAATGGGACCCAAGGTGGACCAGATGGAGTACCTACAGACACTAAGACATTACAGGATCAATGTCTTTCCAAGGTATTAATGAGAGATTGCGTGACCAACAGTTTTCTTCTCAACATCCTGTGCCATGTATGAGGTTTACTATTGGCCTTTCATAGTAGATATTTAGAATGTTCAACAAGAGTTCAAAACTTATTGTAAATTCTCTGTTCTGATAAAAAGACTTCAGAGAACTCCTTAATTTGACCCATCTTATTTTTTCTCTTTCAATACCTAAAAAGTGTTCATTAGTGGCAGAAAATTACAGTTGCCTGGTTAAAATTCAGTCAAAATTGACTGTAGCAACTATTTCCAAGGCACTTAATCTTCATAAGTAAGATTGCTGTCCTATCCTATTGGTCTTTTGGAGAAAAGGAACATCTTTTGGTATCAAGTTCTTTCTTCATTCCATATATGTCTATTCATAGAATTGCTTTGGAAAATATAATGGTTTTAATCAGTGAGTGTTACCAGAGATGCTTCACAAGAAATCTTTTTGGAGTGGGAGAAAACACAGGGAAAAGGCTCCTTTGGTGTCCCTCAGTGAAAGCCTTCCATCTTTTAACAAAATCAGACTGCTGAGGAATACGTGTGCTGATAGCAAATGCAAATGGAGCAAGCAGTAGCGCATATTGGTAAAAAATTGGTAAAAACTCTTGGCAGTTAATAGTGGGTTATTTTTAAATCTAAAGAAAAATCAAAGAAATTGCCTTGTTCCAGTGTCAGTATAAGATTGAGTATTTTGGGGCAAACTTCAAGAAAGGTATAGTGAGACCAGAAAAAAAATTACAGGTCATGGTTTTTGCTGGGTCATGTTTTGGATTTTTGTGGGGAGGTTTGTTTTGATTTCCTCAGCACTTCTATACTTAGCTGTATATTATAGTCAGGATTTTACAAGGGTTTCATAGTTCACAGAGGAAAAGGCAGAGCACAGACTTACAGCCAAGGTTTAAGCTAACCTCGTTGACTACTAAGCTTTCTCAGAGATTTCTCTGCACTAAACACTTCCTTCTAGAGTCTACCAAATCCAAGGGTTCCACACAGAGACAATCCCCAGCCCATGCTACCCTCTGCAAAGTGTCTGTCCCCACTGATGGAGTGGAGAACTCACAATTCTCACACATTTCCAGAGGATTTTTGGTACAAAAAACTGAGAGGGGCCAAAGGCTGCAGACAGTTGGGATAAAAGCTCTGTAGGGAACATCAGGAAATCTTTAAAGGACACAATGCCCTGCACCTCACTAGAAAGTAAAGGGAAAAAAGGTGGCATGGTAAGGAAAATGATTTGTAGAGCAGGGATTTAATCAGGTCAAAACAGACGTTTTGAATAATGTATTAAATTCAACTTGCTTGTTCCTTCCTATCCATAATGCAAATCCATTGAAATAAAATCAGTAGCCTGTCCTTTCCTCTTACCTCCCTCATATTTTTAGCCTGGCTTCTCACATTTACAATAAAGTACAAAAAGTTCTCTTTCATCTTCATAGTTAATTAAACAGCAAAACTACCTTTAGATAATTCTTAGTGGTTCACAATTCATGGTGATTAGCTAAATCAATTTACTAAAGCAACAGAGTGCAAGAATTACCACCTTGGAATACTTTTAAAGGCAAGAGATATGACCCACACCTTTTCAGACAGAGGAAGAAACAGCAGTTCATTTTAGAAGTTGGGAACACTTGAAACAGGCCCAAAGCCTCTCCCCCAGAGCAGAGCTGTTTCAATTTTCACAGCAGGATTAAAAGTATTTTTATACAGTCTGTACTAGTGCAAAAAATATAACATTGTGTTTTGCATAATGTAACCTTGAGAACAAACAGTGAAAAAGGAAAAGCTTTTAAAAAAACAACACCGTGACTCAAGGCACTGCAGTCATTAGGGATGATACACAATAACAGGACTCAGAGAGGCACCACATGAAATGAAACACATCACAGAACTGTCTCTCTCATACACTCATCTTTTAATCTGTTGCTGAAGAAAGAGAAACCTTGTGATATTTTATGATTCCTAACAATGAAAATGAGTTTTCATCTTCCACTTTTATGAATTATATTTTGAATGTAGACTGATTATGAAGCACAAAAAAAAAGCAAACCCTGAAGCATCACTAAACTGACTAAATAAAGTATTATGAAGTAGACCTAGAGAAAACTTCTTGTGTTAAAACAAGAACAGCTACACTGCAAAAAATCTGCACCAAAACTGACTTGCAGGGAAAGTAAAGTCTGTTGTCAATAATTCAAAATAATTCAGATAAACTCTGAGAAAGATGAAAATCTGCTTACCTTGCAGGGTTTGGGATTCAAATAAGAGTCAGAAATTCTCACTACTTCTTTAAGAGGCCAAATGTGAAGGCCATAAAGAAAATCCTATAAATTTTACTTTTCTGACAGGTTCAAATATGATTTGAAATCCAAAATAGCAACTTAAACAGTTCTGACATCACTAGTAAAGAAAAAAGAGCACTGGAAGACAGGAGAGCATTGCTAATGCCATGTGGAGATGGACGGAATCCAATTCCCTCTTGGAGCTGCAATGGCTTTGCAAAGCTGTGGAGAATAAGCAGTAAGAGAAACTTCTCCCTGCCCTGGAAGGAAGCAGCCCTGACCTGTAATTACAGGTTTACAGACACGCAGGAATGGTGAGCAAAAGGGTGACAAATTCAGATAGCTCTCCTGAGTGGAGTGCTAGTGCAAGAACTCTGTCACACCCTCCTCTCCTGTTCTAGCTCTAACAGACCAGGATACTCAACTGTGGACTCAAAGAAAGAGCTTTGACTCCAAGAAGCCCAGGAGGAATACACAAAAATTAATTATTTCTCTAAATGTATGCACATATATCCTGTTGAAAGCAGAGTGAAATTCTGCTTCAGCTTTGTGTGTCCATAAGCTGACTGACACCCCATCAACAGCACCAGGAGCAATCCAATGAGCTCACAGGGACAACAGACTCAATCTCTTTATTGGGGATTTTATACGAATTCTCTGTGTGTGGTGAAAGAGAGTCAGAAACTCTCTAAATTAGTTACTGTAATAATTTACTGTAGCTAAACCCACTGTTCACCTTTGCTTCTTGGAAAAAGTCGTCGTGCATGACAGCTGGAAATGCCTGTGACAGCAGCAGCCAACAGAACCAATTTTAAAGACCTGGAAATTCTGGGAACAGGACATCAGGGGGATAAATCTCTCTCCTGGATGATAACACTGGATTTAAACATATGTCAAGGTTGATAGACATACTAACAGATCTACTTTTAAATAAAATAAATTTATTGCTAATTAAAGAGTTCACAGAATTTTTCTCCTGTTTATTCACAGAAAATAAAAGCTTCCCTTGTGTGATCATAGGTAAAGAGCTGGCTGTAGGAAACTCCAAACAATAATGACGTTTCTAAAAGTTCAACATTAAATCTAAAAATTCAGCTACTGAATTTTTCAACTATAAATCAGCTATAAACTTTCAACTGTAAACAGCATATAGAGTGTCAGTGTAGCTTTATAGGCAAAGAACAGCTTTTTTATTGATGTTGATGTCTCTATTTGAGATGAAACAATATACACATGCTACCTAGAATCTGTAATATGCTCTCTTCTAACATCACTCCTCAACATTTCCTGAGTATTCCAACCTAAGTGCCAACAGCTCACTTTTCTTACTCCATTTGGAAGTAATGACATGTAGATATTTCTCCCTTGATTCTGTAGTGTGCAATCCTTAGACAGTAAGATGTTCCCTGAAAGTACTAAGTATATTTGTCAAAGCTGAAAGGCACAACCATAAGGCAAATACAAAGAATAAGAAAGGATATTATACTAAAGCATTACCTAAATGTAACGCAAGAGAGGAAAAAACTTTTGCAGCTGATAAAACACAGGGAGTCAGAACCCACACAGAAACTTTGACCTCATTAATTTTGTTGTTGCTGAGATTATTGGTAAAAGAATCATACCCGATTTTTAAAGGAAACTAAAATCTATATGCCTCTGATCTTTCTTGGGAAGATATTCTGCATTTCTCTGCTGAAGTACAGCCTATTGTGCCATCTGCATGCCAGAAGGGAAGAGTCATGGAAAATCAGAGAACTGGGCTCTTATTTCATGGTAAAAGAATTCTGTCACAGAAGAATCAGAATTCTGCTGCAGGGTTCCATTCCATCTTTTGCTATATGCTATACATGTAGCTCTATAAATTGTTTTTTAAGTGAGATAGCTTTTCCTACTATCCTTTCCCTGTGTCCAAAATTCAGCCATAACACCATCGTAATTTAAGTCCTTGCAAAAAGCACACATCACAATGCAGTAAAATCTTCTGCTACAATAATCTCAACTTTAGACTGAATTCATTCAAACCTTTCCCTGAAGTAATAGGTTCTTCTCCAGAAAATAACACCTACAGAAAATGGCAGAAAAGCTCAGAGGAGCACTTTGTAATTTTAATATTTTATCACTGAGAAATGTATCCTTGTCTTTCAGCATTCACTTCACTTCTCTCTTTCAAAAGAAATAAGTAAAAGGCTAAAATAATCCAGGACTTAGAGAAAACTGAACAACATGAGCATGATCAGTAGTATGAAACAAGCCACCTTGGAATAAAGAGTTACT